AAAAAGTTAAAATAGGGGCGCCTGGGTGGCTTAGTCGGTTAAGCGTCCGACTTTCGCTTGGGTCATGATCTCGCGGTTCGTGGGTTCGAGCCCCGCATCGGGCTCTGTGCTGACTGTCAGCTCAGAGCCTGGAGCCTGTTTCAGTCTGTGACTCCCTCTCTCTCTGACCCTCCCCTGCTCACGCTCTCTCTCTCTCTCTCCTAGAAATAAATTAAAAAAATATTAAAAAAAAAAGTTAAAATAGAGAACGTTCTAGTCATTATCTGATTTTATTTTTTCCCCCACTGTGAGCATCCGGCCCATTCGCAATGGGCATGTTTCCAGACGCTTCCAGATCTGACCCCATCTTATCTTCTAGCCTCATTTATAGCCACTGCCTTCCACCTCTGGCCAAGCCTTGGAATTCCCTAAATGATGGCTGCTCTTGTTCCCTGTGATTTCACAAATACAATTTTTCGACCACCTCCCCACACGCTGCCCTCTCGATGAACCAGATAAACTACACTCGTTCTTCAAGACTCTATCCAATGACTCTTCTTTCAGGCGCCTTTCTTCGCCTCTCTGCGTCTCAGTCTCCCCAAGGTCTCGCTCCTGAGTGATGATGATCACGTCCCTGGTGGGCAAGCTCTCTGGCACCTAGCCTGGGAGCTTCCCGGGGTCGCCGTGGGGATTCTTGTCACCCATGTTTTTCTTGAGTTCTCTTGGCGCTTAGCACAGTGGCTGGTGTGTGACGAGGGGTTTGTGCATACTTGTGGAACGAATGAGTAAAATTGCAAAGGAAGCAACGTTTATTTTCAGAAGCTTCCAGCTCCCTGCACGTTTTTTGGTACCCGTTCTCCAGCCCAGTTGCACTCGGTATCCCCATGCTGTCCATGTAGACATCCACCAGGGGAAGGCTTCAAGCTTTCCCCTCCATATGCTACCACACCTTACCAGTCCGGCGGCCCATCCCCCCACGGGCGTTGAGTTCAAACATAGATTGCTGGGGCCCAGCCCTCTCTAGGTTCTGATTCCATGGGTCTTGGGTGGGGGCTGCGAATTTGCATGTCTACTAACTTCCCAGGTGACGCAGCTAGACAAAGATCACATTTTGAGAAGCACTGGGATAAATTAATGTAAAGCCAGGGGCGGCAGGTAATAATGCACAAAGGAATCCTTAGTTCATCCTGACTGACCCCCTTAACTGAGTTTCTGATTCTCTCAGCACTATCTGGATTTCTTTAATCCCAGATCATCTTCTCCCTGCCTTGCCTTGCCCTCCTCCTCCAACTTTCTGATCTTTTCAGACTGTTCTCCGAGCTCCTCTGCTTTAGCAAGCCCAACATGGCTCTCCTTTTCTTTCTCCTTTCATAAAGCCACCAATTTAGGACAAAGGCTTTCCTGAGCTCTTAGCTCCATTTCATGGCCTTCTTTCTCCTCGCCGGTTCAGGCTTAGCACCCCGCCCCCATTGCATCCCAGCAGCCTGAATGACCTTTCTAAAGCTTGGCTCCAATTAGGGTCCACTCCTATCTAGCAGGGAGAGCCATTTCCCCTCCCTGGGAGTCTGGTTCCACAAACAACATTAGCATGCTAATGACAGTCACCTGCTGGCCCTGGGAAGTCCGCTGTGAGCTCCAGCTTCCTCGAGGACAGTGGAAACACTGAAAACACCACATTTAAATGCTTCCGTTCATTCATTCACTCAACGAACATTGATTGAGCACCTGCCAGCCGCTGTGCTGGGCCTGAGGGATCCCGCCAGGACACACGGCCCATGAGCATGTGTTCAGGGCAGTGCCCGAGGGTCCACAACACCTCTTCGCGAAGGGGATCTTTTGCTTTGCTCACCAATGGGGACAGACAGCCAAGGAAGAAACTGACGCCCTCACGAGCCCCCTTGCCTCAGCCTTCCCGCCCGCCCTGTGCCTGGGCCTTGGACCCAGGACTAAGGATTGGGTGACTCCAACCCAGTGAGTTTCCAAACCTCTTTGTTGAAACAAGCACGATAAGGCACACGTCTCAGTTATCGGCCGCTGTGTTGGGTGAGGCAAGGTGTGTACAGCTGGGAACATTGTGAGCCGAGACCTCTCTGCACATACACACACCCACACCGACGCACAGCACTGGTGTACACAGCTTCATACACACACCAACACACACTAAAAATACACTTCGACACAGGCACGGACACACACGGAAACACACACACGGGCAGACACATGCCAACAAATACAAACACAGGAGTAAGCATATGCCAACACGCACACACATTGACACATACTGAAACACACAGGCACATAGCTGACACACGCGCTGACGCGTACAGATGCACACCTACTCACACATGGATACCAACCCACATGCCACGGAAACGCGTGTCCAGGGCCCAGCAAGGGCTTGCAGCCGCAGGTGGCCGATCTGAGAGGGAACAAAGGGCGGCAGGACACTTGAATGATACACTCGGTTCCAGTTTGCGAGCACCAGCGTTTTGGAGGAGGAGGCCTCTGAGGTTCTGAGGGTCCCAAGGGACAGCCGGGCAGAGTGGGTCACGTGGGCAGGGCGCCAAGGATTTTGAGCTAAGGCAGCCCCTCGAGGGGCTCAAATAGAGCGAGGTGTGGTCAGCGCGGAGGGCTGGGGGCGGGAGGGCGGTGCACCCGGGGAGCAGGCAGGATTCCCGGGAAGCCCCCCTCCACCAGGCAGTCCTCCAGGCTGGCGACGCCCGGGGAATCAGCTCTCACCTCTGGCTTCCAGATGCGCGCCTCTCGTCCCGCCACCGCCCAAGACCCATGTCCAGATCATTTAGTGACGTTGGGCTCTGCTCCGTCCACCACACCCAAGCCTTTGCCAGGGAAGACCCATCTCCCTCCCAGACGCTAAGCGGGGAAGCGACCGGTCACTTCGGACTCCCCGCCCCCATCCGGTCTGGGCCCAGCCTTGCTATGGTTCCTCATATACAAGCGCTGGTCCCGCGTGTCGCTGCCACCCCAACCCAGGGCCTGGCGCCACCCCCCAGGCCCTGCCCCAGCACCCTGGCGGGCCTGGGAGACAACAGCCCCTCTTCCTTGCCATCACCGTCAGCCCAGAGGGCCCGCGCTGACCTCCCCCGTACTGGTCCCCGATTGTGCCAGGCGCTTGTCCTTTGGCATCTCCTGGGTTTCTAGCGCAATGACGGGCGCACAGTGGGCGCCCCCAATACATGGCTCGTCACGACTGTCCCCACCGCTACCCTCTCATTGTGCATCTTTCTTCTGTACCCGCCCCTCCCCCCATCCAAATCCCCTACCCTTACCCTACTGTTCAGGAAACCTTTCACTGGGCGCTTCCTGGAGGCCGACCCAGAACTCGGCGCTGGGGATGCATTTTGCGGAGTCCCCGGTCCACGCTGCTCACAGAGAGAGCTCCCTGAGTCAGTGGGAGAAGCACTGTCACGGCAGGTGGAAGCAAGTGCCAGGGAGAGCGCCATGTGGACACCCCATTTCTCTGCCTTCCCTCCTTCTCCCCAGGCCTGGGCTTCTGCATCGGGTCCCCTCTCCTCCTCTCTCCCTGGTTCCCGTTTTTCTTCTTTCCTCCCTCCTGCCTCCCCCTCAGCCGCTCCCGCCTTTGGGCCGCTGCGGGGCCATCTCCTCTGTCCCATCTCGGCCACCTCGCTGTCCCGGCTTTTGCCCATGAGCCGGCCTCCCCCTGTGGTCCCGGGTTCCACTCGAGGGTCTGGGTGCCTCTCCGAGACCAGGGCACCAGCACTACTGAGCAGCGGAGCGGAGTGTGCGACCGCTAGGGCCTCGGGCACGCCAAGTGTGTCAGGGTTCGCGAGTCCCAGGGAGCTAGCAAGGGGCCACTCCCGGGGCAGGGGGCGGGCTTCAGGGCCGGAGAGGCGGAGGGGTGCCGAGGGCAAGGGAGAGGAAAAGGAAAGCAGGCTGGCACAGCCTCCGCCTTCGGAGGTTCTCACTGCGCACAGCCGGCCGCCTCTCCCGGGCTGAGCGAAGGTGAAGGGGAAATGCGGGCGGGACAGAGGCACCGAGGGCCGACCCGCGTCACTCTCACTATCCCGCTCGACCGAGGTGGGGGGGTCTTCGCCCCCAAGCTCCTCCTCTGAGACTCCCCGGCTGCCCAGGCACTAGAAGAGGGTGGTGGTCTGAGCCCGCGCTCACACGCTGAGCGTCTAGGGCTTGGCGGCGAGAGGAGGCGTGGGGCCCGTGTGTATGAAGTACCCAGCAGTGGTGAGCTCGGCTCCACGAAATTCTAGTCCGCAGCATCCGAGGCTTGGAAACCCCAGGGCACGAGGGGACCTCGAGTCCGCCGGTCCCAGACTCCGCACGTCACAGCTCAGTTGCGTGGCCGCACTGCGGCTCCCCCCAACTGCCCCCTTTCTCAGCTCCACTGTGGAGCGGCAGGTGCCGCAGCTGCTCCCCCCCACCCCCCCCCTCCGGCCCCAGCAGCACTCCCGGGCCATGGTGGCGGCGGGAAAGGAGGTGTGGTGGAGCCCCGAGTCCCCAGCCGCAGGCGCTCCCTTCGGAGCACTGGGATATCTCAGAGGACAGGAAAAGGGGGTACGGGGGAGGGACGACGGCAGAGCTCAGCCGCCGAGCTCTGCACGGGAGGGGGAGGGGCGGGGGCTCCCTCCCAGCCTCTGGGGTCTGGGGACACTAGGATGTAAGGCGAGAGCAGGGGGTGTGACAATTCAGCAGAGGTCGGGACGTACCACGGAGCCCAGCGGCGGGGGGGGGGCAGAGGACGCGGTCATCGAGGGGAGCCCCCGCCCCCCTTCGCAAAGGCCTACGGCGGAGGTTGCAGGGCGAACTGGGACGGGGCTCGCCTCAGGGGGAGGCGGCACGTGAAATCCGCCCCCTCCCCGTACCCCACTTCCGAGGGAGTGGGGCCCGAGAGGGGAGGCTGGGGTTGGAGCAGCGGCGCGGGGGCCCCTCCCTTGCACCTCCCCCCACCGGACTTGGTCGCGCCCGAAGTGTAACACTTTCTCTTTGTCGGAGGAGCTCCGCTGTTTCTTGCGCTGTAGCTCCGGTGGCGGCGGCACCCGCGGCAGCCCTGGCGGACGCAGGAGCGATGGCAGCGACCGATATAGCTCGCCAGGTGGTGAGTACCGGGCTGGGGTGCCGGGAGGCTGGGAAGGGCCGCGGAGACCCGGCCGCCGCCGCCGCGAGGAGGGCAGCGGGGCGGCATCCAGGAGCCGAGGCGCGGCGGGACTTCTGCTCCTGGGGTCGGCAGTCCCCTCTCCCGGCCGCTCCCCAAGAACCGTGGAGGCGGGCGGGCGGGCTGGGGGCCCGGCGGAGGCGGGCCGGCGGCCGAACTTGCATCTTGCCCGCGAGCCGCAGTACGCGCCGCCGCCTCCCTCGCTGCGGCCGCCGCCGCGCCGCTGGGGCGTTGCCGAATGAATGGCCGTGCGAGCTGCCGAGCCCTCGGGGTCCCTGGCCGCACCCCCCATCCCGGCCTTGCTTCCTCCGGCCCCCGGGCCGCGCCCCGGAGCCCAGCCGCCCGCCGGGACCCGGGCCTCCGCTGGGAAGTGGGGCGCGGGGCTGGGGCGAGCCCGGGGCAGGAGGCGGTGGAGTGGTGAGGGGGGCGGGGAGGTGACTGGCCGGGGTCGGGTTTCTCCATATGCATTACATATGTGACTGCGTCTGTGTGTGTGTTTCACCGTGTGCGTGTGAGTGCACGCGCGCGCACTCGTGCCTCCCGGGCGTCTGTGACCCTAGATGGGGCCGCCCGTTTGTCGGCGTGCGCTCACCTCCGTGCTGTGTGGCCTTGACTCCTCCGTGCTGTTTGCCTCTGGGTCCCGTTTGTGCGTGTGTGCGTGTGTGTGTGGGGGGGGTGCAGTTCACCGGCCTGTAGGTGGCTGGCCGAGTATTTTGGCATATTTCTGGCTACGTGACCCGGGTCGTGCGGGCCGCTGGGTGTCTGTCTGGATTCCGTGTTCGGTGTCGCTGGGCTCCGATGCTAAACCCTATGGAGCCGCCTTCTTTCTATGGGGACTCAGGAAAATAAGTGTGAGGCTTTTAAACGCGGTGCCATCTCTCTTTTTGTTGGCAGCAGACTCTGGAAAAAAAAATCTTTTAAAGAACTGAAGTTTTCCAGCCTGGGATGTTCAGAGAAATCATATTGAAGTGACCCGAGGCTCCATGATTGTTTGGTTTTTATTTATTTTATTATTATTATTATTATTTTAGACCAGAAGTTTGGTTGTAAAGGGAGGGGATGATTCCATTTGGGGCAACAACCTAGCCTGTCCTTTCATCCATGGGCATCTCAGATTTTGAAAAGCCCACAATTACCGACACTCTTTGGTGAGGAAGGAGAGTGAAGTAGAGGTAGGTGAAATCCTATCCCATCAAATGCTACTTGATGAAAATCTCCGAGCCCCCTTCCCCCCCGCCAACACACACCAAAAGTTTTTAAACCCTGGGGCTTATTTAGGGAAATAGTCCATGCACTGCAATTCCAGTGCAAGAAACAAAAGCCTCTAGGTATTTGGGTCACTGAAATGGATTTGTTTTCAAAATCTGCATCCAGAATCTGATAGTATTTTCTCTACAGGATATATATGAATTCATGACACCCTCTGGCCCCTGTTCAGAAGGGCAGGGTGATTTCCTTTGGACCTCCCCACCCCCTGTAGACCTCAGCGCCCAGCTCTTTATGCTGATGTGGAAGGACCAGTAGAGAGAAGACAGTGCTCTGTGATCATGGAATTGGAGAGAATCCTCTTCCCTCTAAGACTGACCCTGTAATATTTATTGCTGTGGCATTTTGAGGCTTCTCAGAGTGCTTTTCTGCTCCCTGTTGCCTGCATTTTAGACATGGCATGCTTTAAGCAGAGGGAGTGTTCTCCTGGATTACACTTGCTCCATCTTTAGTGACCAAAAAGGATACTAATGATTTTTCTTGTCAGCTAATTAATTTGCATCGACCTGTCCACGCTCTGCCTGCCGCCAGTCCCCCTCGCCTGGATTAAGATTGCAGGGCAGATGTTGTAAAGGGGAACATTCCAGAAGGTTGCCTTTCACCTCAGGCACAATTTGGGCCACCCGGAGGAGGTCCCCTTTGTTCTGCAGATGGGGGCTCGGGGTGGTTTAGGGCCATTTGGTTTGCTTTGCGTGGTTCCCCTGTGCCCTGGCTGGCTTTGCCCATATAGCATGATGAAGAACATAATTGTACGCCAGATTCCGAAGCTGAAAGAGCAGCCCAAGCACTTGAGACCTTGTTATCGGGATAAATGGGTTTCTGGGAAAACTGACGTCACTCTCCCTGCCCCCCCCCCCCTGTAAAGCTCTTGTTTTTTGTGTTATTTGTCTCTCTGCTCTCCTTTGTGTCTGCAAGAAGTTGTAATTCACCAGGGGAAGGTGAAATTAACTCAGGAGACCTTGGACGCCTGATGGCTGCTGGTTTCTTCCAAGGACTATGTAGGCAGGGTTTGGGAGGGGAAGTCTGGAGAATAAACCTAGCTTGGGAGTTCTTTTGAATGAGCTCTAGGACACAGTGCCATGCAAACCTTGCTGTGGTGCGCGCCAGCGCGCGTGCGTGCGTGCGTGGTTGAGGGTCACCATGGCTAGTAAGGTAACATCATTAGTGACTTAAAACAGGCCATAGAGTTGTTGGATAGGACCCTTACTTGGGCACGCGTGCAGCTTGGAAGTTCAGCTCCTGTGTATACAACACAAGCCAATCCCATCGGAATGGACAGCGCAGATATCCTGGAGGACAGAACTCTTCCTCCATTGTGTCCGCAGACATTTATTTTCGACTGATCGGTGTCCAGCACTATGGCTGGCCCTGGCCAACTGTACAGAAAAAGGAAAAAGTAGTAGACATAGGTCCCGCCTTTTAAGCTTATGGCCTAGTTGAAGAGACCAACTGTGGGTGCTGTGAAATAGTTAGAGAACTATAGAACAATCTTGTTGTGAGGTGGCTTGGGCTGCCATTAATATAGTCTCTTTCTTTTTTTTTTTTTAAGTTTATTTATTTATTTTGAGAGAGAGAGAGAGAATCTCAAGCAGACTCTGCACTGTCAGCACAGAGCCCAATACGGGGCTCGAACTCACGAACGGTGATATCATGACCTGAGCCAAAACTACAAGTTGGACGCTTAACCAACTGAGCCACCAGGACGCCCCAGTGTATATACTCTTTGAGGCCGTATTACTGGTCTTTCTCTCTAATGAAAGATCTTGCAGGGGCTAACTCTGCCTTACCTGGGGCCGGCCTGGGGCAGCTGGCTCAGGGCAACTGCCTCCAGGCAGGGAGAAGCTGGTCTCTGCATTCTGATCTTTGTTATCAAATGACACTTACCCTAGATATCCCTTGAAGCTCCAGCCTCAGCTGGATCTACCACCTCACACTAAACGTAACATTATTATACCTCAAGCAGGGAGAGCAAAACCCCAGTATATACCCACACCTCCACTGAGGATATAGCACAGAAGGAAATTTACATGGCCCCAAATATAACAAGTTATTCAATCTAAGTCAAGGGTATATGGGTAATCACTGTACTATTTTTCTAACTTTCAAAAGAAAAAGTTGGGGTGTGCGTCGGGGGGAATGACAATGTCCTCCTCTCCCCCCACCAAATGCATACAGCCTCTTCCCCTCAGGGAGTTTACAGTCTAGTAATGGAGGCAGACTTAAATAACCATATGATTATCATTGTGATCAGTGCTGCACAGCCGAGCTGCTGCAAGAATTCATTACAAGTGGACCTAATCCAGCCGTGAACGGGGGCGGTGGGTGACTGGAAAGCCTTCCTGAGGGTTTCAGCTAAGAAAGGGGTAGGTGTAAAGATGGGTGAGCTCTCACTCTGCTCCCCATCTCATCTGTTAATTCACACGCTTCTATTCTCATTCATTCCTTCCTTCAACACGTGTTGATTAGGCACCAACTCTGCCAGGCCCTGTGCCAGGTGCTGGGGATATGGTGGTGCCGAGGCACAGAGGACTGTGCCCTCTGAAAGCTTCCAGATGACAGGCAGGAATCGGTCGCGTTTCCTTTCATTTCCTAAATCCTGGAAATGTTGAGTGTTAGCGGTGTTCTTATTACAAAACTGCATTACAGCTGAGCGATTTGTCTGTATAGCATAATAAGATTTTGATCTGGAGTCATGTGCATAGCATTTACCTTGTGGAGTCTCTGCTGTAAATTTTCTGTTAATTGCTGGCTTTGTTACCTAGCACGGCCCCTCCCTTTGTGTGCTGTAAGGGAACAAACCCGTAGCATTAGTCTGAGCAAAAACTAATTAGGAAGATAAGCCCCCTGGAAAAAGGTATTCTGCAACTAAATAGGACTGATTTCTGGACTTGCCTGGGTTTCTGGATGATCAGAGCCGTGGCTTCGTAGTAGCAGGAACGAATGAGAAGAGCTTTTAAGTTGCATGTACTTTAAGACCACACTGAAGAAAGAGAAAGAGAAGAGGGAGAAAGAGAACACCATGGGATAAGTATCGTTGCCTTCAACAATCTCCAGGTGCTTCCGTCTGGATTTCATTTTCCCCAACAGCCTCCTGGACAAGTATTCCTGTTTTCTTCATTTATGGGTACAGGGAGGCCAAGTGACTTAGTCCAAAGTGGTATCGCTGGTCAGTGGATGAAACAATGAAACACATACCAAATGACACAGATTCTTTAAAAAAAAAGCCAAATCTGCCCTTTTCGTGATGTTTCTAAGCAATAAAGATCCTGCCAGACCCCAACACCCCCCTCTTTGCATTGTCTCCGCCCACCCCCGCCAGCACAGTCAGGGCGCCAGAGAGGAGTATGCTGGGTTCTTTGAGGACTCCGTGATGTTAAAAAGATCCTTAGCTTAAATCCCAGATCGCACAGTCATGGGTTGCATGTGGGTTTTCTGTCTTTTTTTCTTTCTTCCCATATTGCTTTAAATAAAAATCTTGGAGCCACCAGCCGTGTAATGATGGATTATTTTAAGTAACAACTTGGGGGGGTGCAGAATAAATTAGAAACACAGACCCTTCCTCGGTGTGGCAGGAGGAGGCTTTTGCTGCCGGGATTTGAAACTGTGGGCTTCTCCGCTGCCTGCACAGACGAAGGAGGCCACATGCTCAGGAGGGTGAGAAATAATGTTATCGTCTTGTTCTGGGTCTCCCCATTAGAGGCAGCCATCTGCTGGATTATGTCGCGCACTCTCTGCTTGCCCTGGACTTGGGTCATCCGTTCCACTCACTTACAGGTGACCGGGGAAGAGATTTGCAGGCCTTCGTGGGGACAGGACTCTGGGCTCTGGCTTTTCCTGCCAGGGGCCCCCCTCTGCCTCCTATTGAAGGCCCCCCGGGGGGGATGTAGCAGGAGCAGAACCCCACTTTGGCAACCCTGAGGAGGTGTGAGGTAGTGTTGGGTTTCCTGTCCCAGCAGAGGCCCCCGGCTCTGAACACCGGCGCGGAGGCAGGAACTGGGTTTTTTCAGATCCACTTTAAATGAGACCAGATGGAGGCAGAGGCAGTCAGGCTCCCTAGAAGACAGTTGGGCATTCATCCAGAGGCCTGTGAGTAAACCCTTTTTCTTTTCCTTTTCTTTCTTTCTTTCTTTCTTTCTTTCTTTCTTTCTTTCTTTCTTTCTTTCTTTCTTTCTTTCTTCCTTCCTTCCTTCCTTCCTTCCTTCCTTCCTTCCTTCCT